CCTCTGAAAGGTACTATATAAAAGTTTATTCAACAGCCCCCAAAATCTCTCACGGAGAAAGTAGGACTCTTCTCAGGCATGTTCCCAGCATGGCGTAACCCTAGAGTGAGAGACACATCGCCAGCAGTAGTGGTCCCAAACCTTATAAGCGTAGACCCAATGTGGCCAGCACCAGCGTTGGCATTGCTGGAAGTGGTCCCATAATCAGCTGTAACAATGCTGCCATGTCGACATGTGTCGTCGGCGAAGTCATGGAAAGGCTGTCCAGCATGAGGTGGTGGTGCAGCCTCGGTGGCGGAGGTGATATTGATGGGTGTAATAATGGTGGTGGTGGTGGTAGAGGAGGAGGTGGAGAGTTTTGTTTGGTTTTCCGAGAAACATTGTCTATTGATTGCAAGGAGTGAAGGGTCGTTTTCATTGGCATTGATTTCGGATCTTTTGCCTGATGGGATGGTTGTTGTTGTGGCAGCTGGTGCTGATGATCCTGTCGTTGTTGTAGTAGGCGTTGGTGTTTGTGCAAGCCCACTATTGTTGCTGTTGTTGTTGGCTTGCTTCCTTTCTCTATCTTCTGCTCCTGGTTCCTCTTCTTTGGATTCTTGCTGGTACATGTCTTCAACCATGGGTTTCCACAACCGAACCCTGGCATTAATGAACCAGTTTGAAACCTAAACATATGGAATGGGATTAGCAACATTCAATATTTAATTAAACAAGTAACAAATATTGTATGCGCATGATTAATGAATGATAGCTAGGGCACATCTATATATTTTATGCAACACACAATTCATTGGAATGCCATACTAATTCGTGCTTGAAGTATAAATCTAGGCATGGTGTCTTAGATAATTTTGCTTAAAAATGAAGTTTATTAAACTTTGGACTCCACACAATAATAGGAAGTAACAATCTTTTCATTTCATCAATGAATTTGTAACTCCATCGATCCATCGACACACTACTGTATTCACACTGATCTCAAATTTAAAGCTTCTCTTATATATATATAAACTCCATTTCAAAACTTCTAGCTATGTAGTCTATAATTTTTCTTTTTAACCAAAAACATAATTCAAATTTGGAATCTTGAAATTGAAAATCTCATTTAGTTACCAAATCAGAAAGCTTTTCTCAACAAATATAGGAATAATTACATCACATAAATGATGATGATGATGATGCAATAATATTCATAAAAAAGAGAGGATCGAATTCGATGTAGTCTGTTGAATCACTTGACAGTGTCCTATATCTCCATGAACAGTTTAAGAATGGTAATAATAAAAGCTCTCCATTTATGATCAGCCTATATAACCCCCTCTGAGTTATTTATTGTATATACAAGATAAAGACATAGACATATAGATGTTTGTTTCTTTCTATTCCCTCTCCAAAGAGCAAAGCAGCTTTGGGTTCTTGCTTTTCATGCAAATAATATAACACATAGTTAATGACAAAAAAAAAAGTAAAATAAGAAATTTAAGTACACTTGATGAATTATTAGATACTGTTTGATAATACAATAGTTATGTATTAAAGTATAAAAAGAAAAAGGGAAATTAACCTTTAGGGTTTAATGACACGAGAAGGAGGAGATGCAGGTGCAAGAATACAAGATGGAAATAAAAACAGTAACAAAGGTAGACACGAGAAGGAGGAGATGCAGGTGCAAAGGTAAAAAAAACCCACTAGCAAGGGGTAAAGGAGAAGATGCAAGTAAGAATACCAACAAGTTTATAAAACATGATCCTAAGTACAAATTTTTTGTTCACTGTCTTTAATGTTTCATCTTTGTGTGTGGTTGGATAATTCAATATGCTGTGTGGTGGGGGCAGAGAGAGAGAGAGAACCAATCAAAGCTGCAAACTCTCATGTCTCATCTCATCTCTTCTGTACTTTTTTCTGCTCTTAAATAATGCTATCTCCCTCCCTTGATGTCTGTATCTGATCGAGTCTATCTATGTCTCTTAACTTATAAAAGAATGCAAATAAATAAATAAACAAAATAAAAGGAAACATAAACCGTATAAAAAGATGCTAAACCCTTATGGCATAATATCGTTCGATAACAGAAAGACATGAGAAATAAACCGGAGTAAGTAAAGCCCAGAACCATGCAAATCTACTGAACTTACTCATGGTCCCTCCTTGTTTTTCTCTCTCTCTCTCTCTCTAGAATAGTACATCTCCATTTTCGTGTTAAATGAATAGTACTCTAATATTTACTGTTTTGTTTAAGAAGAGATCAAAAGGGGAATGTGAGTGTGTATGTAGAGAGAGAGAGAGAGAGAGAGAGAGAGACCTGATTCCTCGATAAACCAGTCTGTCTAGCTAACAGATGTTTATCAGCATCGCTTGGATACCTGAGAAAGGGTTCAGAAAATGACATCAGAGTCAATACCTCAACCAAATAAAGAGAAACCAATATTGCTAGCTTTTATTTGTGTATCATATTTACATGGGGCACGAGAATCTAAGAGAAGAGAAGAGAAGAGAAGATGAGCAGTGTTTTGTAGCAGGCAGTAGCAGGGGCATCAGAGAAGTTTAAAGGGGTACAACTGCATGCACGCACCGATCGCTCTTATTATTTTGTGTGCGTGACTTATCATAAAAATCATGATTTCACAGAGAAAGATAGAGAGAGGTGAAGAGAAAGAAAAAGGTGGTCAGTTGAATTATGCCTTTATTTTATTTTTGACACAATTAACTAATTTCTGAGGTCTACAAAGGGAGGAGGGGACTGATGTATTAGAGGGAAAAGCAGTGGGTAAATAGAAACCCTTTGACAGCTTTTGCTGACGAGACAACATCCAAGGACACTGCATTACTGTTCCTTTTAATCACATTATGGACAAAAAGCTAGAGAAAGAAACAAGGGAACTTGGATCTTGTGTTAGTATCTATCTTGTTAACAAATTAGAAAGTATCATTATGCGGTAAAAACTTTTACGCCTCCTACAATGATGTCTACTACTAATAATAAGTGCCTATACTTTGATTTTTCAACTCTCTTAGGTTTCTATTTTCTAGATTGTTGTGAATACGATACGAGTAGCTAGCTAGTATAGTGAAGTTTAGGTAAAAGTAACGTACGGGTGGAGAAAATGCTCAAAAAGCCAGGCTCTTAAGATGTTGACAGATCGTTCAGGCAAGCCTCTCTGGGGTCTCCAAGCTTCTTGTTCCATCATGCCCATTTGGTGAAAGGCTCTTTGTTGTCTTAGACTTTGCTCTAATAACTTAAGCCTTGGTGTCTCACCTTTTGTTATGCCTGAGGTCCCAGCACCATCTTTCTCTCCAAGTAGTTCACAGCTAAGCTTCAATTGTGCTGCTATTGCATCTTTTAGACACCTAAAATGTCTTGACATTGCCTTCTGGGCAAGGGCAGTGTAAGGGACTGCCGCCCCGAAACCCATTACTAGATCAAATGAGTTCACTACCATTTGCATTTGCTCACAATAATGGTTGTACCTTCGATCCACCTGCAAGTTTGTAGAACAAATTGACCCACATATTAAATATATAAACAATGATTAAATTTCACCAATCGCAATGTTCCTTCTGTAAAAATATCGTTCATGAGTATCTATTGACACTACCGTAATAAAATAAAATAAAAAACACATTTTAAGGCATGCATTAAATAAGAAAAATTGCCACATCAAGTCCCATGAAGTAAACAAAACTCAAATGTTGTTTTCACGACTTCCTCATATTGCAGATACATAACAGGTGTGTAAGAAAAGAGGAAATAAATCATGATAGCACTAGGTCATGCGACCTGATTTGATATTCATGACATTGAAAGAGGAGAAGGGTTAGAATAGACAAAGAAAGACATTCAAGAATTGTTATGACACCCAATATAGATGAATATTTTTTATAGGACTTTTCATGGTTCTTAAAGAAAACACAAATAGCAGAGAGAAGGAGGAGGAGGAGAATAAATGCGTTAACCAAAGGGTGGTACAGTACTGAAATGATTGCTAATAGGGGCATGGAATATCCCTGGTGTTTCTTTCGTTACTGCCTTTCCCCAATACAGCCAATTTGATAGGCTTGCTTGTGTAACGCATAATGCATAAACAAAACAAAAACAAAAGGAGAAAAGAAAAGGAACTACTACCCTTGCTGCGCCTAGGTCAACTAATTAATATATAATATCAAGGGCTTTCTTTCTTTCCCTGCAATATTACTATGATGGGTACCAATCTTTTTACCACCAGTAGCTTCATAATAACTTCCCTTACGTAATATGGTGGCTTAACAGTCATCTTCCAAGTCAGGAGGAACGTCGTTTGTTGCTGGACGCCTAGATAGATAGGTACTTCTAATAATAGTAGACTTTTTATTATTTTCTTACCGAACCATAAACCTTAACACATCGCCTACCTTTACAATCAATGTGGAAAAAAACTAAATATTGAAAATAAAATAAAATAATATGATGACTAATCTAGCTAGCTCTACCAACTAGATCTTATGTAACCTTATGGCACCAGGCGGCTTTTTTCTACTTGGGATCTTTAAATCTTTTATAATATTGTTGAGAAACTTGCCGGAATTTTCTGTTTGTCCGTGTGATTTGGAAAATCATTGATGTACGTACTCAAATAAACAAACCCAGAAAAAAAAAAGTCCTTACTCTTGAGGGAAAGAGATAGAGATAGAGAGAGAGAGAGAGAGAGAGAGATTACATGCCTCATCAAGCATCGACAGGAGTTTGACCTTCCTTCTTTGATGCTCAATTCTATCAGCAGCTGACAAGGGAGGGAGATCTTTTGTTGAAGAAGAAGAGCCGCCGCCGCCCCCTGGGTTGTTATTGGAACTAGGGTTTGTGTTTTGTCTACCAAATTTGCTTTTCTTGAACTGACCTCTTCCAACACTACAAAACTCTTCTAACAACTCTTGTGCTGCTTTCACATACTTTGAATTCCTCAAAACATTCACCACTCCTAATGATGACCCAAAACCAACATGAACTTGGTGGTGGTTTTGCCCCGCTCCACCTTGGAAATGTAATGCTTGATGGGGTTGGTGACCTCCCAGATTCTTGTAATATTGACTAGACGATGATCCACCAGCTCCTTGATTATAATACAATAGCCCACCATCTCCCATCCTCAATTCTTCTGCTTTGGCTGCCTCTAAATGTTGCAAAGATGATGATAATGATAAAGAAAGTCCTTGTCCTTCAACAACACCGCTAATCTCAGTTTGATTACTGAGTGGAGCACCAGTATTGCCTCCTACATGAGAACTATCAGGAACCCATGTGAATTGTGGTGGAGATATAACACTAGTAGCACCAAATCCCCCTCCTGATACAGTACTAAACCCTTGAAGAGAACTTGAAGGATTTGGTAGCAACATGTGAAGAGTAGAAGAAGTTGAAGGAGGGGGTTGATGATGAGAAAGAGAAGGAGATTGTGGTGATCTTGGTTGTGATGGGTTCATTAAAAAAAGCTGCATGGCTGTAGCTGAATCTGCGTTAATGCCTGAAATTTGATGCTGATGTTGAGCCAAACTTTCACGGCTATCATTATTATTATGATTTTTTGAATTGCCTATCCCCAAACCTCCTACTGCCATACCTTGCGTGTTGTTGCTGTTATACCAATCGTTGGTTGTCACCGGTTGTTGTTGTTGTCGTGGCTGAGTCCGGTAATTAGACCGCAAGGGCTGATCTAACAAATCAACAGCCGCGGCTGGTCCGCCAGCAGGAGGGAAATTGAACATTTCTGATAACATACCGGCTGTTTCGTAGACGGGAAGGCCACTTGATTCTTCTTCTCCAATACCTAATAATGCCGGTGGAGGTTGTTCATAGCCTGATTGAACTCTAAGCTTATCCCTGCGGATCTGTTGGGCTATATGGTGCTGCTGCTGCTGATGTTGCTGCTGCTGATTATGTTCTTGGTGAGATACTGAGGATCTCTCGAAACCGCCATTCGAGAAGGAAAAGATACCTTGATGGTAATCTTGGGACATAGAATTATGATTTGAAGGGTTGGACTTGGTGTTTTGTAGTATTGGAGAGCTTAACTGGTGAGTCTTTGAGTGCGGAAGTATTGGAGGGAATGGAGGTGTTGTAGCTATTCCCATATCAATATCTTGAAGATGATCATCATCATCATCTCTTTCAATTATCTTCTTTGTAGCACCCTCACAAGTCACAACCTTATTATTTCCTTTCTTCTGTCAATCAAATCTGCTACATATGGATCAGTTTAGAGACGGCCAAAAAACACAAGAAATAAACACTATCTTAGATTTAACATATCAAGAAACATACTAAAACCAAAGAAAGAGTAAGAGAGAGGGAAAGATCGAGCAACAAGTATCAAATGAGTTTTTGTTCGTTCCTTAAATTTGGTTAATTCCTTTTTATATATGTTTCACTTTTATCATACTCGTATACACACACACACACACACACAAAAGCAAGTACCTCTTGGAGTTTCAGAGTATGCAAGGAGAGAAAGCTCTCAGACATCGTTTTCTCTTCTGTGGTATTGAAAGCTTGGTGAATTCCTTAGTTTCTCTCTCTCTTTCTATTTATCTATCTCTATGTGTGTTGTCCTCTGTCTCTCGTCTCTTTCTTTCTCTTTCTCTCCTTTTCTCTCTTTGTTGCTCTTTGCAGCACTCAGAGCTAGTGAGTGTAGGGGGAGAGAGAGAGAGAGAGATGAAGCTTAACAATAAAATAAAGGAAAAGAATGGAGGATTAAAGAGACTGGTATCTCTCTCAAAACAAAAAAAAAAAAAAAAAAAAAACAGCGAGCCCCAAGGAGAGAAGAGGAAAGAAAGAGATCAAGAGGTCGCTATTCTTTCTTGCTTTTCTTTCTTCTTCTTCTTCACCTCCTCTTTTTACTCACCATTATTTTATTTTTCAATTTGATTTTTGCTTTCTTGTAACAACATTTATTTGTTTTGTTTTCTTTACATTTTCACAACAACAAATTCAAATTAAAAAATATAAATATTCATTTCATACATTTTTCTAATATAATTAAGAAAAAATAACGATTAGAAATAAATTAAAGAGCAAAATTTATTAAGTAAACTTAAAAATGAAACATATAAACAAAGACTTGAGGTATAATTTATTACGCCCATGACAACTTGGCTAATATGACCTCTTGTAAACCCTCAAGAGTTTAGGGTATTTTAGTCTTTTAGGTTTTATAAGTCAAGGGTATCTAAACTAACATTTTCGGGAAAAAATAATTATAGGAATCAAACGGTCAATTCTTTACTTTATATATGATTTATATTTTTTTGTGAATTTAATTATATTTATTTCATATAAAATGACCAAAATGTTAAAGCTATTTACGTCATTTTGTACAAAGTCCTCAGGAAACCAACGCAAACTACGGAATAAAATAAAGATAAGGTCAGTAGAAAGTCATCTCAATGATCCAAACTACCACCATCCCTTGATTTGATTTCTATGACCACAATGCCCTAGCTGTATGATTATTTGGAACCAACGACAATACAAGTTATTAAGGTCATATTGGTCTTTTCGTGATGCAATTTTTGTTCATTAATAGCACAACTAAATCTAGCCATATAAATGGATAGGCAATCATAAGAGGTAGAGAAAACATTATCAATACAAAGATACGAGTTTTGTTACGGTGCTTTACTTTTGATAAAGCTCTTCTTCTACTTTTTTATAAAATAATATTTTCAATATTTTTTATTATTATTTTATCTTTAGATATTTTTGTTTTTAATTTAATTCTTTGTGACATAATTTGATGAGATGAAGTATTAAATTGTAGTAGAAATATAAAATTAAAAGATAAAGAATCATAAAGTAGATCACAAAAAAAATACATAGTTAATCTAAATTTTTTTATAATTTTTATTTTGATTTAAAAGTTCATTTTATTTGTTATTTAGTCTCTTAATTTGAGAAAAAAAATATAAAGTACATCATTGCAAAACAAAAAAAAACTTGTTGTTGGGCACTTTTAAAAAAGAAGGATATTTTTTTGTGTCAATTAACTAATCTTTTGGTTTTTTTTCTTATAAATATGATAGAAAAAGTATATCAATGTTCATTTGATTTGTTTTAATCAAGTTTATTTTTATTTTTTGAAGTAATTTTAGAGTATTTTGGGGGTTAATAAATGGTTTATGAAGATTTTTATAATATTTTTTAGATTAAAAATAAAAAAATAATAAATTTTTAGACCCAAACCCTCTTTAATTTTTTAAGCATGTTACTGGTCATTATTGCTTTTTTTTTTTTTAAGAAAAATAAAAAAAATAAAAAAATCAAGAAAAGGCCTGGCCTTCCCAGCCTAGTCTCAGCTAGGCTTTTTAAATAAGGCCAGGCATGTAGATTTTTTTTTATTTTTTTGAATTTAAATTTGTTTTTAAAAAATTATTAATTTAAAATAATATAAATATATAAATATATTAAATTTTTAAATTAATTAAAAATATATTTTAGATATTATTTTATTAAATATAATTTAATTTTGCTTTGTTTTTGAATGAGTATACTAGCATTTTTATAATATTAGAAAGTTTTTTCTTTACAATTTGGTGTGTGTTTTTATTATCATAAAATTAAATAGTATTTATTTAAAAATTAATATTATTAAATCCAATCAAATATATAATTTAAATCATAGGTTTGACAACCGAGCTCATTGACCTGTATTACTAAACAATGTTATTATTTTAATTTTTGAAAATCTTTACTTCATATACATTAAATTTTAAATTTATAATGAAAATTTATTCACAAATAGAAAAATAAATTAACAATGCTATGTTTTACATTTAAAATCTTTATTAGTTAGTTCAAATCCGCAGAGAAATACGGGCTAATTACCTAGTTTATGCTAATTAACACACATGAGGAAATTAAACGGAGATTTTTATTTAATTTTATAAGTAATAAGGAAAGTCTACACGCAAGAGAGAAGGTTGGCACGTGTTATTGGTTGGGCGCAGGGAAAGTTAGGTTCGCGTGCAGGGGGGTATATGAAAAGCACATATAACCGCTTTATCGTTAGCAATGCCAAGATTGGCATGTTTGATCACCTTTTTCATTTGGCCTTTGATTTCCTTTAACATATAGGATTTACGTGTTTATTATTTTTAGTTTTATTTGTCTTTTTTTTTATGTTTAATTGTTTCTAAATTTACATTTTCATTATCATAAAAGTGATCGTATATATATAATTAACATTTAATTTCTCTTGTGATGAACATAAACATTTTCAAATTCAAAATCTTCAATTATTTGATAGAATTTTGGTAACCTTTGAACCTATTAATTACTTAAGCTTGTAAATCATTTTCCATGTTTAATTAATTTATAGTGATACATATGTTTATTATCTTATATTAAGATAAATTTGATAAAAATAAAATAAAAAATATGAGATTTTTGAAACTTCCTTTTTGTTTTCTATGACAATTCTGGATCATATTTTAGGTATTGAGATTCTTTAAACAAGTTTTAATTTAATCATGTATATTTAAATTGATATTTCTATAAAAACCCCAAACGATCATGGCCTTGACATACCTGAACTTGTTTTTAACCCCTAACGAGTTTAGAAAACTCGCTTGAGTCCAATATTTTCTTAATAGTTTTTTGGAACCTCAACACATATCTTTTAATATTTTTATATTAATTCAATATGTGTTATAAATACCACATGAATCTTTCAATTTTCAATATTAATTCAATATGTGTTATAAATACCACGTGAATCTTTTAATTTTCAAGTTTATAATTTTTTAATTTTTAATATTTTTAACATAGATATTTTTAATATTTATTTTTTTAAAATATTATCTTACTTTTTTTTCTAAAAAAATACTACTTAAATATCGAAGAATCCTTAAATCTACCAAATAAGATTTTTTAAGTAATCAACCACTAGTCATTTTAGCTTACCAAGCATCACTTATCTTGAATAGAGAAAATAAATTAAATTATTAGAATCAAGATTAACTTATTATTCAATATATAATTAAATCTAGCATTTATTTTTTTAGAATCTCCACTATTATTACTAGGTTGTGTAAGAGATAACGGATGTAGCAAGAAGAAAGAAGTTCTAATTGATAAATTCTAAATGTGATGTATTGAAAAGGGAGAGAGATATGGATTTTCATAACTCTAGCTATTCACAGCATTAATGAATACAAGGAAAGTAATAATCAGAAAGAAACTAACATGGTAGAAAATGAGATAAGAGATATACTAATTTTATTTTTATTTTTATTTTTCTTCTTTTTTTTTTTTGCCTAACTATACATTTTATTTTCTTAAAGTAGCATATCATTCATTTTAAACTTAGAGCTAAATTATCGAAAAGAACCATGAACTTTAGGTCAAACTGAAATAGACTTTTAATCTTTAGAAATTTTAATTTGATTATAATATAGATTTTTTAAAATAAATGATAGTTTCCGGAATAATTTTGATCATGTGTAGTGGTTACAAAACTTGACACGTGTCTAATTTGTTATTTGAAACAAATAAAAAACAGAATAAAAGAAATCTAAAAAATGAATTACAAAAAATAAAGAAAACATAAATCATCATTAAATTTCAAGCGTTGTCCATGTTCAAAAAAATCCTCTTAACTTTGGTCTCCAAAATCAAAACAAAACTCATCACAATTTTTCTTCTGTAATTTGTTTTAATATCTTTTTTTTTCTTCCAAATCCTGTATTTAATTTTAAAGACACCTGTCATATTCTGAGATGATCAAAATGAACAGAGAAATGGAAATCTGGAAGAAAAGACCTATTATTTACCAAAAAAAGAAGAAGTTAGTGATAGTCAAATTATTTAACCTAAACTTATTTCTTAGCCAATTTGGTCTGCTATTTCCCTGTTATCTAATTAATAAAAACATATTTTAACACAGTGTCATAAATCAACTATTGATTACGACAACATTTGCCTAGATCTCGACTAGCAAAGTGGATTATCATTTTAATCATGACAAGCTAGTGACTAATTTTTGGAGAAAGACATTTGTTTCCATCAACTCGAATCTATTTTGGTTAGTTCATTATAAATCACTAAGAAATGAGAAAGACATACTGCTAACTTGGAGACTTAATTAGACAATCTATAGCTAGAGACTGACTAGCTAGTTTTCAACACGCTATTCCAAATTATGTATACAAACTGATCTCCAATCTATAATTGGGATAGTGGGGCATTGTCATTTCAGATTTAGAACTTGTGGGTGAGAGGTGGTGACTCTTTTTCAATTTTGTTTATGTATACATCTTTACTAGATACATGTAGTTATCTGCAAGGAGGGAGGGGGGGGGGAAAGGAAGAAGTTGGCTAGCATGCCGCTTTGCCATGTGAGATTGCTTTTGATTGATGTGCTGCCGTATCCAAGACTTTTTGTTAGGATTTGTGTGTTCATAAAATTTCTTTGGTTTTCTCCCGAGCCTTGAAGCACAGCACGATGAATTTTGGAGATGGAAAATACCTCAAGGTGCAGTAAAGAGGTGAGAGGTACATGACGATTGTTTAGGAAGATTGTTTACTGTCTTTTCAACATGTAACCCATGCATATCGACATATATTTATAGATTTAACTGTGTTGTCACCGAAAACCGTACACCCAACAACATATAAATAAATTCATAGAAGCCAAAATGGGCTAGACAAACAAGTACAGATCGAACAAAGAAATGTTTTTTCCCCATGGTGCTTGTAGATCACATAGGTCCTTTTGCTCCGTGTTCTTGAAGATTTTAGTGGTGTTGGTAACTTGCTAGACAATGTTAGATACCATGAATTCGTTC